GAGTTATAATTTAGTGATTCGACGGGACGAAAGTGGGACGGTCCCACTTTTCAAGATGGCGGACGCATTGTTCTCCGAAAGWACTGMTGCAAGTATACTAAGCATTACAATAATGACAAGCACGCACTTTACCTTCTTTTGATTTSGTAAAGTTCCAGTAGTTTCCTGCAGTACTATTACCATTTCTAAATCCACATGTGTCTYTCGTAAAATCACACTTAAAAATGGACTTAGCTGCCAAAAGAAATGCAAAATCAAATTASATTACTTCGCATTTGATTTCGCTGCCCGTGTTATAACTGTGTTTTGTGATTGTCCCGTTCAGCAGGATCTCGCTTTCACTTAATCATCGTACGATAAAGTGATCTAATTAGATCTAATTGTGAACGGAGTGTCTAAACGTCAAGCAATCGGATTTTTTTTTTTTGAGAAATCACCAGAACAAGCCTAATTTCAATTAACAGAACAAGAGAAATGGAAACAAATACCAAAATAGTACTGTTCGACAATGTTGCATAGACAAGCACGGCACTTTGAGATTTTTCGACTGCCTGACGTTTAGTTTTTAGTGCCGTGCTTGTTTATACAACCCTGTCGAACAGTATTATTTTGGTCTTTTTTCCATTTCTCTTGTTCTATTAATTAAAATTACGGTTGTTGATCCGACGCGATTTTTAAAAACAAAAATCAATTGCATGACGCTTATAGTTTTTAATACCTTAACGTCGGGCTGCCTAACTGTTCTATACAGTCTAACGTCTCTATACAGTGACGGATTCAGAGGGGGTAGAAGGGGCCTGCGGGTGTATCCTATCATTATTATCACTAAGACTCACTTACGTTGTAAAATGAGACGACCAAACACACCTCCATGTACCGCACCATACATGTCACCGTTATAAGTGTGTGTTATCTTGATTGGATACGTCCCTGGYTGGACCATGACACCGAGTCTCAGGTTTGATGTATGTTGTATACAATCCATAGCCAATGCCTCGTGTACTACAACTGWTGTATACCCTACGTCTAGTACAAGTCTTGCAGGGCATGCTGGGCAATAKGCTCCACGGCAGCAATACTTGTACTTCACTGAAGTAAAAACAAAGAAAAACAATTGTCCTATCGCATCTTTGACATTGAACGGATTGAACCAACCAGAAAGCAAGTTTCAACTAGAGATCCCTTTTGGATCTATATCGACTCCTTGAAAATAAAAGTGCATTTCTTTAAGATGCAGTTGTAGGAAGGTTGATAAAGTTAGTCAACTCCTTGGTTTTTGTATACCGTTTTTATTGTCGGTTGGATTAAAGGTTCACCTAAAGGATCCAAATTTCTTACTTACCTCTAATGTTGAATGGGGTTTCACTTGTCTCTGTAGTTATTGTGGTTTTGTTGTCGTGTAGACCAAACTCAATATCTTTGTAACCTGTGCAACACCGACAATATAAACTTCAACAGATTATCATAATAATCCCCCCTCCCCCTCCTGTACTTGATCCAGACTCGAATTCGATTTGTTTGCAAAAGAAAAGTTGTCAAGGGCAACTGCATTATTCTTTGAAAAGTTTGTTGTGTTCCAGTTCGTATAGCGATACTCAATGTTTATCAACAAACTTATTCTTATGTTAATGTGCCAACCATGATTAGAATGGGTTTTCACAAGTCGCTTTGTTCTAACAGCCAATCGTCTTCTGGTTGGTACATGAATAACAAAGGCTTAAGTAACATTGAGTATCGCTATAGTATGTAAGTTGTGATTGGTCGCGAGKTGTAGCTGTTGATAAGATATGTATGCTTTAATTGGTCGAAAGGTGTTACTGTACATATGGTACGTAAGTTGTGAATGGTCGAGAGGTGCATCTGTTCTATGGTACGTAAGTTGTGATTGGAGAGATGTACGTGTTCATATGGTACGTAAGTTGTAATTGGTCGAGAGGTGCATCTGTTCATATAGTACGTAAGTTGTGATTGGAGAGATGTACCTGTTCATATGGTACGTAAGGTGTGATTGGAGAGATGTACCTGTTCATATGGTACGTAAGGTGTGATTGGAGAGACGCATCTGTTCATATGGTACGTAAGGTGTGATTGGAGAGACGCATCTGTTCATATGGTACGTAAGTTGTGATTGGAGAGATGTACCTGTTCATATGGTACGTAAGTTGTGATTGGAGAGACGCATCTGTTCATATGGTACGTAAGTTGTGATTGGAGAGATGTACCTGTTCATATGGTACGTAAGGTGTGATTGGAGAGACGCATTTGTTCATATGGTACGTAAGTTGTGATTGGAGAGGTGTACTTTTAGATGGATATAAAGACAAAACTGCTGGCGCGAATGATTCAAATCTACATTTCGAGTTACTCTCTTCTCCTGCGCATGCTTTAAGAAACTTTCCTCCTTCCAATGTTGCATCATATCAAACAATTGCTTTAGAGAAAAATTCATTCGTTTGCCAAACTTTTGCTTACCATATATGGTAATCTTAGAAAGTTTTTTCACGTTTTTTCCACCTTTTAGTACTTTAAAATGTCTAAAACTTACAGAATTTGCAGAGAATCGCTTTTCAACATGTCGGCCATTATAATTTTGTCCTAGTCTTCTCCCATCCTTGAAAATAAGGAATCCCACAAAAGACACAGGTAGCCCGCGCGAATGTCTGGCAATTGTTTGATATGTTTTTAGGTGATGACCCGAATCTTTTACATTGAAAACTATMAACATTGCATAGGAAGATATAGGAAGCATTGGGTTTAATTTGTAAGTTCTTGAACAGAAAACACAGCCGACAACACATTATGTGCGCCATTGTACGTGATTGAACCATATTATGGTTTACCTGGATATACCCAGTAAAGCCTTGCGTGACTTATCGGACCTTCAAAGGATCCATTAGGGAATTTCATTGCAACAGACGCAAACCCKCGTAATTCGTAGCCATTTGTTGTGGTAACGAGCATCTTCATCTTGTACAGGAAACAGTGACTTAGCAAAATAGGCTTTGATGTTTGCTTGCTGGGATACCTGTTGAAACGTGAATACACATTTGACAATTTTACTCTTACGGCCTTCCTGGTAACTTCAACTTCCTGGTAACTTTAATGTATGTGAAGTGACGGACGCCGTATTGTAGAAACTACAATCTTGGACACAAATACCTTACAATTTTTCGCTTGAGCATTACAAATATTGTATCGTGTGCATCAACTGAAAATATTCCCCTTGACTCCCCTCCCTAACGCATCAATGTTGCATGCAGGGGTTAATGAATGGACAACCAATGAAAAGAAAGCCACACAACATTGTATTCGGGGGGGAGGGGGTCACGAGGGAGGCTTTATCGACGAATAGCGTGAGAGATGTCGTGCGTGCGTGCGTAAAAATTGTCAACATTTATGTCCAAGATTTCAGCATGGTGGTAAATGCATTCCTCGCACTTATTTATCCATAAAATACTCWTTTGTGTTTCCTTTGCAGGTAATACAACACAGCGTACTTCTTTGAAAAGGATATAAGTTTATCTCGCTGCTATATTAGATGCAAATAAAGGGCTACTTTTAGCGCAGGGACTTCAGTGTTCAATACGTTCAATTGAATTATTCAAACATCATATAAAAAGGCGAATAGCTGTCTTACTTGTCAAATTCAKTATGTCCAACATGGTCTTTTTGCTTGAGATTCGCTATCAATCTTTGCTTGTTTTCAAGTACGCCGCCATTGTCAATCCAGAGCTCACATTCTCCACCGCATGCAATTACAAACGAGTAGTTGCCACCCTCTGGAACCTTACACCATTCAAGTCATATGAGAAATTAGGATTTTTATCATGAAATAATCATTGTGGATTCAGCAATCTTCCTTTTGATCAACCAACCAACCAAGCGATCAATCAATCATTAAAAATATATATATTCATCGATCCATCAGGCAAGCAGGCAAGCAGGCAAGTAAGCAGACAAGCAGACGGCAAGCAGGCAGGGAAGCAGGCAAGCAAGCAGGCAAGCAGACAGGAAAGCAGGCGGGAAGGCAGGTGGGAAGGCAGGCGGGAAGGCAGGCAGGAGAGCAGGCAGGGAAGCAGGCAAGCAGGCAGGCAGACAGAGAAGCAGTGTTTTAGCCTTACCTGTAGATACGTCTCCAGCTGCTTACCGTAGTGACCCGTGAGAAAGTACGGTGCATCAAAGTCCTTAAACATTGACACTGATGAGGGCTTTAAAGGGAATCGTACATCTTCTCGTAACTTAGCCAAGGAGCCGTATGTTAGTCCGTGCCACAGTTTCTGAAGAACACCTCTTAGTCCATCTTGGTTGTCTGTGAATGAAATGACACCGTATGAAGCTCAGACCTTATATCACTACAGATCTGATAACTTCTTTAAAAAGATAACCGTTCGCATTTGTAAACATTACTGTCAAGTTCTTGCGSCAGTCCGACGCCAACCATCTTATGCAACATTKCTAAGTCATCCTTACAACATGGCTACAACTGTTGTTGCATAGGGTTATAAAACAATTATTTTTATTCTCTACGACAGTTGTAGCCATTGTAATAGTCAATTAGGCATGTTGCATGCGATAGTTGTTGAAAAAAGTTGTACCGTCTAAGTCGGCCTTTGGAGCTCGAAAATCAAATCTACGAAACAAAATCTAACTATCTCAAAATGTAATGTTTTTCAATCGATGTGCGATTTAAACGTCAGTGTGAACATATAAGGGCACGCGCAATGGACAAAATACTCAAGCTATAGATACCTTACCAAAAGCAGTCAYTGTAACTTCACACAGTGTCAAGGTCTTGTCAGGACCGTCGATCTGTATAGTCACATCTGTAGTCTTTACAGACTGGCTGCATAACACGACCGTAACACGACGAATGTACACACTGTAGTATTTTGTACATTCGGATAACGACGACCCGCCGATCAACACCCGAAAACTTGCGTCGGCTTTCAAACAGCATGACATTCTGTATGCAATGTCTAGTCGAGCGATGAACATCTTCTTTACGAGTTTGATCTTCAACCATGGATTTTGAGTCTGAAGTTCAAAAGAAAAACATAAAATTTTACAAAACTGTTAGAATAAGATGCTAACGAAGGCCATGACAAAGATAGAAGTGTAGCGGCCCGGAAAGAGTKGGGGGACTCCGRGGTAAAAGTACCGGGGATGTTCGTCAGAAGTTTTCAAAAAGACCCCTAAAAGATCCCGGAAGTCTTGAAAAGGCTGTGGCTGACTGATTTTTAACCCCTAAGAGATTGCACAACAAATATTGTWAAATTGAATCAGTTACAATGATAAAATGTATAAAAGATTTAATGACTGGAATTCATTACATCAAAAGCTTCCCACTGTTAAAGGCATAAAAAACGCTATGCATTAAGAACGTACAGTAATATCGATGCGCCTTTTCTCTCAATCTTAAGAGATTGCAGAAAAGTCAAATTTCCAGAAACACACGCGCTTATTTGCGGTGCTAATTTTTCGAATTATTTGGAATTACTTTCCATTTGTCCCATTTATTTTTTTATTCATAAACCACAGATCCATCTTGATAAATATTAACAAAAAAAAAAGAAAGCAACAGCCATATTCCGCATTCTTAGTTGGTCGTGTACTTAAAACACACTGAATAACTCGATGATCGTGACCCGTAGTCAGAACTGAATAACTCGTAACTCGTAGTGAGAACTAAATAACTCGTAACTCATATTGAGAACTGAATAACTCGTGACCCGTAGTGAGAACTAAATAACTCGTAACTCATATTGAGAACTGAATAACTCGTGACCCGTAGTGAGAACTAAATAACTCGTAACTCATATTGAGAACTGAATAACTCGTGACCCGTAGTGAGAACTAAATAACTCGTAACTCATATTGAGAACTGAATAACTCGTGACCCGTAGTGAGAACTAAATAACTCGTAACTCATATTGAGAACTGAATAACTCGTGACCCGTAGTGAGAACTAAATAACTCGTAACTCATATTGAGAACTGAATAACTCGTGACCCGTAGT